TAAACAAACCAATCTAAATATATAATCGATTTATATAATGGATATTGAGTCAAAAAACAGGTTATCCATTTTGAAACCCTATAATCTATTGGAACTTACCATACATAGAAGACGCCATACAAGAAAAAATATATATATACATGCAAAGATTTGAAGACTAAACTACAAAGATAAGAGAATCAACTAGGATGATTGATTCGATTTTATGTGCCTTTTTATTTATTGAATATTGAAAAAACCGCTTTTTTACGTTACAACTGGATTTTTTACCATCAAAACTAAATTTTTTTTATTGTCAAAACCATTTTTATTGTTGTTAAAACCGGGTTTTTTTACCGTTGAAACCGGTTTTTTACCGTTAAATCTGTTTTTTTTTTCGTTAAACCTGTTTTGTTATCTTTGTTCTACTATTTTAATGGAAAGGCAATACTACACTGACAAGTAATAGTAGATGGAAACATATTTTTATAACAAAACCATTTGTACGTGGGAGCTTCAAGATTACCTTGTTTCTAAACCGGTTTAACTGGTTTTTTAGAATTACAAATCAAAAATTAATTTTTCCAATATATTATTATCATAGAGTAACAATGCTTCACTGTCAAATAATAGTTGATGGAAACAGATTTGTAGCTAAAACAGATTTACGTGGCAGCTGTGACTACTACTGACTTACTAAATCCAAACCGATTTGACCGGTTTTTTCTGGAATTTAAAATAAAAAACCAAAGCAACGTTTTACTTACAAGTAATAATTGATGAGTATAAATTCTATAGCTTAAACAACTGGTGGGTGGAGGGTGTTATTCGCTAATGGTTTGAAAACCGGTTTGACCAGTTTTTTTTAAAATTACAAATTATAAGCGGCTTTAGCCAGTTTTTTTATAAATTATGAACCGGTTTTTACAAGCGAAAATCGATTTTTGTAAAAAGGTGGAATAGTTTACTGTAGACCCTTTAGTAAACAGAGATGGGTTGATGGTCATTTTATTTACACCGGGCTGTAATCTTAAAAATAAAAATTATTTACTACATTTAATCGGAAGAAACTGCAATCTGTAAGTTTTGACAAAACCAAAACCTGCTGCTTTGTGTTCGTATTATTGTTCAATAGCTCTAACTTTAAGCCAAATTATTAAACTACTAATCCTATTAATAGGATCCTATTAATCCTATGTTTTTCCTGTTTAACATGAACATAGTAACTATTTGATTATATCGAATGATTAATGCGAATGATCCTAATGTTCTGTTTTATAATAATCTATTCATTGTAATAATAAGGCAAACTTGTATACTTTATTTAAGGTTATAAGCGGAGAAGGATGGACACCTTTACTTTTTATAGTCAGCCTTGCAACAACAATTGGAACAGCTGTGCCGGTTGGTTACTGCTTAGGATCACTTAATACACCAGCTGCGGTAATACAAATTTGTACTTCATCAATTTCAAAACCTTAGTGCCATATTTAAATATAATTTAATTGATTTTAGTTTATCAAAGATTGGGTGCTGGAATTATATATACAACGTCATGATTTTGAATTCAGTGAAAATGGTCTTGAGTTAGTGTTTGCCAGTATTGTTTCAATATTCTTGATTGGCGGTATATTTGGATCTTTTTTTGGAGCATATTGCTGTGATAAATTTGGAAGGTAAGAATTTAATATATTCATCATTTTAAATTAAATATTGTGTATCAGATGTAATTCTGTGGGGTTAGTAATGCACTATATCAAGGATGTCCAGTTCCTTACATTGTTAGCACATTTGTTTTTCTAATGTCCTTTGCTAAATGAATTTACACAATTACCTGCTTTGCTGCACTTCGTATAGCCATAGGTTAGGTTGGAATGGTGACCTTGTGTACAATGAAAGCCCATTTGTGCTCAAAATAATGGCCCGTTATGGTATCACAGGAATAACGTTGGTTCTTACATAGACAAGGTGATCAGTATACGTCCAACGCCGAAAAAAGTAAAGCCATGAATAACAAAACTTTTCATATAAATGTGGAAAAGCAAACGAAACTATCATATGCTATGTGCGAAGTAATTCCCGTCGATAAGAAACTAAGAAAACCGGTGTTGCTTTTACGAGCTTTCCATCGTATCTGCATGACTTGTAAATCTGTGCACCAGAGATGGACCAGAGATGTGCTACATATGAAAAAAGGTGCCTTTCTTATCTTATTGTTAAATCTGGTCAATTGGAAATCATAGAAGAGAAAACTGAGAAGATACGCAAACATGCTGTAATAATATAATTAAAAGCTTTGTGTTAAATAAATATAATAATAACAACGTGCTGTAGATATTATTTAAAGAAAATTAAAAACAATAGAATATCCTCAAATCTATAAAAGATTAAACATTTGAAGCAGTTAATCCTAAACTGACGAGAGCATGAGTATATAAACACAATCAAAGACCCTAGAGTATGTCTTTTACCAGTGTGTGCCTATGCGGTCAGCAATCTAATTATTGAATATTCCCTTAGGATCACTCCTGTTTGTAATCGAAATGCTCCTGTCACTTCTCCTAATAATTCCAGTACTCCTTAAGATTATTTATACTGCTAGCTATACTGATCTCTTTTTCTATAAGTTAAAGTAAAATGAAAGTATGTTTAAATCAGTCACAGATCAGTTAAAATAAACACATTTGATTTTCCCTAATATAGAAATTTTCGGTACCCAGACTAATGTTGAGTAAATATCGATTACAAAAGTTCGTTACAAATCAAAGCACACTAATTACTACCAAGAGTAATACTCTCAATCTATAAAGAGGGTTTCATAGATCTTCAACGTCGTAGTTTACGGTTCCAAACATAAAATCTTCAAATATAATGTTATCGTTGTTTAATGTTACATGTAATATTAACAATTTATTTAATATTATTAAATATAAATGTAAATATTATTTCATAAGTTATTCTCTTCATTTTATTTACAGGAAAGGTTGCTTGAATTTAAGCGCCGCGTTATTGGTAGTATCTGGGGTGTTTGTAACTTTTTGCCGAGAAGGAAAATCATTAGAAATGATTTTCATCTCACGATTTTTAGCTGGTATAGCATCTGCACTTATTTACACAGCACATCCAATGTATTTACTGGAAATAGCACCTCCTAAACTACGTGGAAGTGTGGCGGTATTTACTGCTTTTGGAGTAACTGCTGGTATATGTGTTGGACAGATATTCAGTTTTAATATTGTATTCGGTACGGAAGAGTACTGGCAATATGCACTTGGTTTTTATGCGGTTTTTGTTATTATATGCTTCTTGCCAACTTATTGGTATCCTGAAAGTCCACGTTGGCGTTATTTGATAAAACATCAATACGATATTGCAGAAAAAGAATTAGTGCGCTTACGTGGAACTGGACCAGAAGCACAGGAATGTGTAAAAAGCGAAATAGCCGAAATGCAATCGGCTAGTAAATCTACTGAAGAGAAATCAAGTTTTCTGAGTGTTTTGAGAAATTCGGACTTATTAATGCCGTTAATATTGGTATGCTCATTTCAAATTTGCCAACAACTTAGTGGCATTAATGCGGTAAGTCAAAAATTTTAAATAAAATATTTTATAAAATAATAAATTTTTAAATTTATATATGGCTTATTATATTGAGTTGTTCAACTTTATATCACAGATTTTCTTCTATTCGGTACCAATCTTCACAAAAGCCGGATTTTCTAGTTCGGCTGCTGAATGGATGAATTTTGGTGCTGGATTTCTAAACATGACTGTTTCTGGACTTGGTCCGTTTTTAATGTCAAAGTTTAATAGACGGCCACTCATGTTAATATCTTGTGTGGGATGTTTTATATCACTCATCTGTTTAGCATTTGCTTTGAACTATATAGTAAGTAATATAATGTGATATATTATGATATATATTGTGACGTTTTTGTATTTATTTTTGAACTTTATAGGATTTGGCCAATTGGTTACCACCTGCTTGCATTGTATTTATAACCACATTCATAACATTCTTTCAACTCGGTTTAGGTCCTATTCCATATTTTATTGGATCAGGTATGATTTTTTGTTTTTTAATTAGTTATAAACAATTTTTCTAATCTATTGCATTTATTTTATAGAGCTCTTCGAAGTAAAACCTAGGCCGGTGGCTATGTCGATGGGCAGTCTGTTCTCTTGGTTTGGTAATTTTTTAATTGGCATGTGCTTTCCGATTTTGCAAGGGGTCTGGGGTGCATTTGTATTTTTGCCTTGCAGTATTGTATGTGTATATTGCTTCTTGCTAACCTATCGTTACTTACCCGAATCCCGTGGACGTGATGCAGCTGACATACAAGTTTATATGAGAAATGGTTTTCATTCGAAATTGAGTTAAAATTAATTATTTAATTTATTTATATTTTTCACATAATTTAACATGTAAAATTATTTATTAGAATGTAGTAATATATATATTTTTTTATACGCTCTTTTTTGTTTTATAAATCAAGAACAAATTCGTTCCATCCTACTCATTATAAAGTTGACATAAAATATGAAAATAGGCAGACATAATAAATCATAAACGGGACACACTTTCATTCATAACACATTATGACACTATCTCTAAAGATTTTAATAAACTTGCTTTAATATTACTTGTGGCTTTTCAAGAGAAACTATAAAAATGATTATAAATTCAAATTATAAAAAATTGTTAAGAAAATAGCACCTGCTAAACAGACGTAGTGTGCGTCCATAAACGAAAATTGAAAAGTTGTATAGATAATGTACAACCAGCATCTCTTTGTTTCTTGAAGTATTTTATCTCCTTTAATTTTTTTTTTTTGTTTTCCGTATACAAATAAATTATTCCCCGTTTTCAAGTTTTCATTTTCCATGGAAAATATATTCAATTTTAAAGTCAATTATGACGAAATAAACAATTTTTTAAATAGAGTGGTCCATAGATGTCTGATGATGGACATTTGGTAATATCCGGAACAAATGTATAGTCAACCAAAAAGTTTAATTATTTTAAATTAAATTCTAGTTATTGGAATTCAACACTCTTATGCCATTCTATTAATTTTAAAATATTCCGAATATAAATAATTAAGATTGATAAATCCCAGTTCTTTGACTCAATTAATTCGTTTTCCTTTTTTGTCTTAGTAAGATGTCGTTTTGATATAATTGACATCTTTATATATATAATTCTTCTGTACGTGTGTTGACAGTGAACTCCTCCTAAACGACTCACCCGATTTTGATGAAATTTTTTGTGTGTGTTCAAGTGGATTCAAGGATGGTTTAAATTCACAATTTGGTACACTGGATAATGTTTTTTTAATTATTATACAGTTTTTTTGGTATCCATATACATTTATATTAGACATTTAAAACTTATTCATGCTTACTTTGATTTGTTTAAAAAGTTTAAAATCTCAAAAATGAATCGTTCAACTATCCTGTTGAATTTTTGAATTCGCTGGATTACCAGGAATGCCACCACATAACTTAAAATTAAAAGTTGACTCACCTATAATTATGCTGCGGAATTTAAATGCACCTAACCTATGCAACGGCATGAGATAGTAGTTAGTTACTTGTGGTGGAGAGAGGACGAATCCTCCTCAAATAGCTAAGGATGAAAGCCGTTTTGAATCCACAAAAACCTCGTAATAGTGGGTAGTAGATAGAGGGTCAAACTAGAACCAACCAGAGGCATTAACAAAGGCAAGAATCTGGCTAATGCTAATACTGGTGATATCGCTAAGTGAGTTGAAGAAAGGGGCCCCTAGAAACTTAAACCTAGTTCTGGCCAGGCCTGGACAAAAACACATCAGGTGTTCTGGTGTTATTTCTTCAAGTATTGGTAGACACGCACTACATGAGGTACCACAAGGAAGGCCAAGTCTAGCTCCATGCCGTCCTATGGACCAGTGACCCGTAAAGACAGATATTAGCTTAGAAATCTCAGATTTGTTTCTACAGATTGAGTCAGAGGTTTTATATTTGGAATAGATGGGCCAAGTAGCCCTTGACCTGGCTGCTGAGACAGTAAGGGTCCACTCACAATTTGCCTGTCGCAAAAAATGGTCACAAATCAACCTACGCCCGTAGGTGACAGGGGCAGGGATCGAAATAGTGGTATCCGTGGAAAAGGCGCCTATCCTAGCAAGCTCGTCAGCGCGCTCATTTCCCACAATATTAGAATGCCCGGGAACCCATACTAGAGTAACCTTGGACCTCTCACTTAGTTCACTGATAATAACCTTACATTCTTCTACTAATCTCGATGACAGACAGATTGCTGATAAAGCTTTAATAGCTGCCTGACTGTCAGTTAGAATGCAGACCTCTTTTCCCTGAAGGCGCATATTTAAAGCAAGAACACTTGCCCTAAGGATAGCAAAAACTTCAGCCTGAAATATTGAGATAGAATCTGAAAGGTGGTATGATTTACTAATCATTAGGTCCGTAGAAAAGATTCCGGCTCCAACGCCCTCATCCATTTTAGACCCGTCGGTGTAGATCGCTATCTTTTCTGGAGTTGTAAGCAATCCCGCCTCCCAATCTCCTCTTGAAGGAATTTTAGTGGCGAAGTTATTGTCGAATAGTAACCGAGGACATAGGTAGTCTGAATCCGTGGCATCATCTATCGGATAGAGTGATGCGATATTACCATGTCCTAAAGCACTCGAGCACGGCATGAGATTAGTCATAAAAAAAATTATGTGCAATGAAATTGAAACTATAATTTTGAATGGCAAATTTGAAGGTGAAGCTATTCTCCTGCCACGAATCCCAATGATCACTTCAGACTCACCCATTCCATTCAGACGTCTGCAATTTCCAATTCGCTTGATATTTGCAATGACTATTAATAAATCACAAGGTCAAATAATGTCGATTTGTGGGATAGATCTAGAAAATCAGGTCTTTTCACATGGCCAATTATATTTGGCGTGTTTTCGCGTTGGAAAACCGACAAGTTTATTCATTTATACTTCTCAAGAATTGATAAAAAAAAATTTTGTTCATCAACTCGCATCAAGATGAAATTAAACAAACATTATTGATTATTACGAATTCTTTTTAGAAAACTTCATGTTATTTCAAAATAAAGAATAACAAAATTATAACATTATTTGACTTTCATTTCTTACTTTGTTTAATATCCTAATTGCTTAGTATATCATGCAGGACAACATCTGTCGGGTCGGCTAGTATATACATATATACATATATCTTTATTCAGTTTATATTTTCCTACAGATAACCCTCAACATCTCGCAGTCGAGTATGCTGAACAAAATTAATTGGCAGAGAAAAGTTCATTCCGATCTAATATCTTTAAGGAGAATGTTGTCTATAACTTAAGAGAAATGATAGGAAATTTCGTCACAAGTATAGCGTCAGAATGAGAAAATTTTTATTGTTTAACAAAATCTTATTCGGATTTTTATACTTCGATCCGAAATAAAAACACTCAGTTGCGGCTTTTCTTGTGCGCGATTCAGAACGAAACGGTGAACGCAGTGAACACAACGTTCACGTACGAAACGAACAATTTTAAGATATAAATACGAATTTTAAAATTATGGAGAATTTTATAAAAAATAATAAGAATTTAATAAAATAAATATGTATATAATTATTATAAAAAAAAGTGGAATATTTGGTATTAATTAAAAAAAATAAAAAATAAAGTAAAAATTTAAAAATAATAAATAAAACTAAAAATAAAAATAAAAATAAAAATAAAGTTAAGTGTTTACCCCAAAAAGAGTAAATAAAATGTGTTGTGACGTCACTATTGAAAAAGAAAGAAAAATGTAAAAATAAATAAATATAAGATATTCTATTCTGTGCATACGTTTAAAATCTTTTCACAGTTCACGATTAAAAATAAATCGAAAAATAACGTGAATTTTGTGGTACGAGTATTTTCCTTCCCTGATGATATTTACGACTGCAATGTGATCATTAACAACATCATTGGCAGCAGCAAAACTAACTACGGCATTAAAAATTTGAATAAAATTGACCATTTCGTCGTTGGAAAAATTTTTGGTAAATGCAAAGAAAAAAAAAGATTACGTTTCAAATTTTCAATTGCTAATGAAAGAAAGTAGCAAAATCTTATATATAATTTTGTTTATAATTATACGATCTGAGACTTTGTATGTAGAAGACAAAATCTCCCGACATTCTGTTTGCCCGCTGTCTCGTCTTATTGTTTTTACCATTTCACATGTGCATTGCATTGTGTCTTTAGTATTTCCTAGATCTAATGGAAGATACTCGTATATAAGATCCCAACGTACGTATATTCATGTGTTTAGTTGTGATGAATAAAATTAAGCTGAAAATGGCAAATGTAGTATAATAAATTTTAAAATGACTTTCTGTAGACAAAGTCAAGAAACTAAAGTGCACTGAAATAAAAATAAATGTATATACATTAGCTCAGCATTAGCTCAAAATAAATTGGAATATGTACACATTATATCGATATATAAATCGTAAATAAAATATATCAGAAAGATTTATTAGCCTGTCCGAATAAAGAAAATTTTCACTTCTGTTACTACCTGCCTGAAATCAAATTGTTTCGTCGAATGCCATGAAAAATGAAGATACAAATTAATCATTTAAAATACAATGGCCATATGTAGTCAAAGAAATGTTTTTATTTATATCTCTTACAAAAAGTACGGGCTTATAGTGAAAACAATAAGTTTTTCATTTTACATGTGAATGAGTGAAGAACACATAAGAAATCTAGGTAGGTGAATAGATGAACACGATTCTGTAGTTTTCTACTATTGGAAACTTAGCAAATATATAATAATAAAATTTTTTATTCTGTAGTTTTCTTCTATTAGAAACTTAGCATATATATAATAATAACATTTTTTATTTATAATTTTATAAAGAGGTTTTTCGAACAGTAGTGAAACTACAACAACAAAAATTTCTTTTATATTATTTTAATTATTTTAATTTTTGGGTGAACATACAGATGTTTAGAGTATTGCCAAATACCCATCAACAGTGGTCTTAGAAATAATTCTCGTATTTAATTAATCGTAAATAATTTTTTGTGACTGCAAGTACCAGGAATCGAATTTGAGTTCTGCCAAATTTGAAGCTCAGATTCAGCGCACCTTAACCAATTGTTTTATTAACAATATAATTTTTAAAATTAAAAATAAAATATTTTAAAAACTTTTAAAGAGGAAAAAATAAAGAAAACTTCGGAAATCATAAATGGATAGAGACGTGTAATCAACATCATCCTCAATTAAAATATCTCTTAAATATCCTCTTAAAATATTTAGCAAATTTTTAAATAATAAATAAATAAATAAAGAAAACTTTAAAAATCCCATATGGATCAAATTTCTAAATACCATGAG